GATGGACCATAAGGTTAAGGACCATAAGGATGGACCATAAGGTGAAGGACCATAAGGATGGACTATAAAGATGGACCATAAGGTTAAGGACCATAAGGATGGACCATAAGGTGAAGGACCATAAGGATGGACTATAAAGATGGACCATAAGGTTAAGGAACATAAGGATGGACCGTAAGGTTAAGGACCACAAGGTTAAGGACCACAAGGATAATGTTAAGAGCTAAGATACTCTCTCTGGAATTATTATTAAATATACAAACTCTTAATCAAATAACATATGAACCGACCAATCCTGCTCTCAATAAATACCATCCCTTTCCCTCGCTGAGACCCATGGGAACCAGCTATGGCTTCTTCCAGCATCTGGGCCTGGGTTATCCAGGCCCAGAGAAGGACAGGGAAGAGTTGGAGGTGGGCTCCAGGAGGCATGGGGAGGGGGGTACTGGCTACCGCTGTCAAGCAAAGGTGGGTCCTCTAGAAATGCAGCCCTTGGGAGGCAGCCATGGTCCAACTCTCCCTTAGAACTGTCATCTCCTGCCAGGAAACATCAAGGTCAGCAGGGAAAAGAAGAATGTATTGGTACAACTATGATTAGTCTAATTTGCATGTTTTGAGGAAACTTGAAGTTGCTGCATCCCAGAAGAAGTGCTGTGTTTTCAAAAGAGCAGAGATGCTATGATATCACTAAGTGGCTTTGGAGGAAGGAGCGCCCATGAACTTGCCTATGGGTGCGTAAGGCACTCTACCAGGTAACGGTCTCCTACGGAGTATCGGCAAGGACCACGGTGTGTGCAGTGAGGGAGAAAGAAAGGGGCTTCCGTTGTTTTAGATGGTAGTGATTTAGTCAGGAAACATGCACACATGGAGAAATTTTGAAGTATTCAGGAAAAACAAACTGATTAATGAACCATAGTTTTGTGTGTGTGTGTGTGTGTGTGTTTGTGTGTGTATACATACAGTATGAATACATGTACATTTGTGTGTGTGTAGAGGGGACAAGCTGGGTACAAGTGCAGGAAAATAAAAAGCTCCTTAATTTTCCTTAATTAAGAAGAACAATCTTAGAGCCAGGTTCCGGGAGGTGAAGGTTTGATGATGACTGTCTGAGATGCTGTGTGCAGGATAAGTGAACAGGGCAAGAACCACCTATTTGGTCAATGGCAGCGGATGTGGAAAGGAAGCTGTGATTCCCTCTCTTCTTTTTAATTGAGGTCTAGTTGATTTACAAGATTGTATTAGGCGCAGGAGTACAACACAGAGATTCAAAATATTTGAAGCCATGACTCTTTAGACCTTTGGGTGAAAATCCAGAAGAACTAGGAGCCACAATAGATGTAGGAAGGCAAGAAGAGAAAGAAGAAAATAAGGCTTCAAGCCTCAAGGCTGGCACTGGAGACCGGGACAGGGAAAAGACGGTACATCGGAGACTAGTTAAGAAGTGTTGGGGGCCGAGTCCGCCTGGAAGGGAGCTGACGTCTTCTTAAGGACTTAGGGAATGCTCTCACCCTCGTTCTCCGTCAACCATCTTCAGATCTTTAAGAGATACTGACAACCAAAGGCAACCCTTGCCTCCCGTCCCAACACCTTCTTTCTTTGATGCTGTCATGTGCAGGAAAGTGAACAAGTGTGCGTGCGCATGTGTGTACATACACCCACGTGTGCAATATGATTCCTGTAAGTCAAACAGCTTTCAACACAAGGAAAGGCATACAGATGTAACTGTGTGATCTTAAGTCTGCTGCTGTCTTTACCAGAGGTTCCCTAAGCATGTGCTCAGATGAATTTCCAAAGAAAGCTCTCTGCTTCTCTCCATATTTATATGAGGCTGTACCATATTGCTTTGAAATTTAAAGAAGTTGTGCCAAATGTTCCCAGAAATGCTTAAAGTTCTTTTTGCTATTCTGGGTTACCACTGACCCAGGAGACCTGAGGCTTTTGCATTTGGTGTGGCTGGATTTTTTTTCTATTAAATAAAGCTCTTTCTCCTACATTCCAGGACAATATGTTCAAATCTTGAGCCTCTGTCCTTGGAAGGTCTCCCCCACATTAATGTCAGTGTAAGAGAGAAGATTGATTTCAACACGTAGCAGGAATCTACAGGCTGTTGTGAAAAACTGTGACATCCAGATAAAGACACGTTGTTTATCAACTGACTGAAATGTGTGTTTAATTCCTCAAAGCGGGGACACTCTGTGATCTCAGATTCCACCCCATCCCAATACACACCATCATAACAGAAGATTAATAAATGATTACTTTGGAGGGGCAACTGATAATTCCTAAAGAGAATGCCATTGAAAGCATGACTGCTTTGTTTCTTCCAAGAAGTTCTCTTCCCAACCATCCTTCCATTAACAGAAAGCCTCTTCTTCCTTCAGTAGCTTTAGAAACTCTGTAAGTCAGGCCAGGGGACGGCTTTGCTCTTCCTGGGAACTATCCGTTTTGAATTTTGCAATAAAGTAAAGGAATGGGGTGTACATGACTTTAAGGTAAGTGGGACTCATGCATTTCTAACAAAAGAAATCAAACTTCAAGAGCAGATCACTAACTACTATATATAAAATAGATAATCACTAACTACTATATATAAAATAGATAAACAACGAGTTTCTTCTGTACAGCACAGGGAACTATGGTCAATATCTTGCAGTGACCTATAACGAAAAAGAATGTGAAAAGGAATATATGTATGTATGTGTGTGACTGAAACATGATGCTGTCCACCAGACATTGACACAGCGTTGTCAAGTGACAATAGTTCAATAAAAAATGGTAAAAAAAAGAGTAGATCAAACTAATTTTTGAAGAAGAAAGATATGAAGAAGTGCCCATAAACGAATTTTATGGGGCATATACCTTACAGATAAGGGTCAGCACAGTAGAATGATGAGATTTTGATTCTCAAAATACATTTAAGAAGTTTTTTAAACGTACTTCCTCCACACATTGGGTAATTTTTCTTTGTTTAAAGTATTTTCCAACAACATTTTTAACGGGAATATATGGCTTTTTACCAAAGGATCAAAACATCCCTCCTCATCTTTCCTTCCACTTTGTCTTTCACGAGACCAAGCGACGTTAATGAGCACTTAGTCATGGTTGTTCTACTGTAAGTTACTCACCTCTCTTGAAAATCTCATAACGTATGGAAAATCCCGCACCGTGGGTCTCATAGTCAGAGACAAATTTGATGAAGAGAAACGGCCCTGAAGACACGACAGGCGAAGGGGCAATCTTTCCACAGAACTTTCCCCATAAACGCCCATTTTCATTTTCTCCGTCGATGACCTCCACGTAGTCATACCTGAGACACAGAGGAGGAAGGGAACGTCAGGTTAGTGAGAAACGCCCCTTTGATTTCAGCAGTTTAGAACGCGGTATTGTCCACCACTGTCTGCCAGGAGAAAAAGCACTGTCTGCATTCACCGCGGGATTACACAGAGAGGAAAGAAGTCTGGCAAAATGAAATAATTAAAATGGACTGCATCATGTCTGTATACATCATCTGGCAACACAGAACTATTAAGAATAATGGTGTCCATTATACTGGCAGACAATGTCAGTTAAAGTAACCAATTAACAAGAAAAAGGAAAATCTCATGAGCACAATTCCTTATTATTAAACTGTGTTCCTTTGTCTGGGGGGGGGTGTCAGTACATAAGGCTGTGCATTCTTTTCAAACTGTGAAGTTCTTTTATGAATTCAAAATGTCTCCTTGGCTGGAGCACTCCATGAATAATACTTTGATTTCTGTAAGCGACCCTCTAAACATATGGCCACAGAATAATAAACAGATTCTTTACTTTTTAACTCGATTTTACCAAACTCCAGGCTTCTTAGGAAAAAAAAAAAAACTCGCTCAGTATCCATTGTGGTCAAAACACAGATCATCTTCCCCTCAAACCACCCTTGACCTGCAGAACAGACTTTCTGCAAAGAAAAAGTATATTTAAAAATGGAAAGTGACTTTGTGTATACTCAGCAGCCTGAATCTTTAAAGGAACTGTTGTCTGAAAAGGAAATATGACACACTCGAAATCATCAAAATGATATGATTTTTAAAAATTCAGACTTAATAATAATATATTAAGGAGACAAATGATGAAAGAAGTGGCAATAAAACATTACCCTAAAGACGGCACTGAGTTAATACATGTGCCCGAGCCTTCATCTCTAAAAGGTGCGAAACCATCTCCAATAAACTAACACCCCCCAGGAAAACAGGAAGATTTTTGCTTGCTTGGCATTATATGTCTCTTAGTGTCTCGCTCTTCTCTTTTTATTTGCCGAGTCACCTCAAAGCCAGATAATCTGATTTGTCTTCCTTGTTCCTTCTACAACTGACATGAAAACATTACAATCCATTCATCTCAAATCTTTATTTCTGTGTCTCACTTGGTTCCAAAGTCCTGGGATATATTAATTTCAGGAATGGCTAAAATACGGCAGGAACATAAACTGTATCTGGCCATTCGAGAGAGATCAAAGGGCGAGAAATCTTCATGAGGACCAATGTCATCCTTCGCAATCCTTTTCAAATGGTCCAGGATGCATTCCTTCTGTTTACGTAAAGTCTCACGAGACAACTGCTAAGATGCTATCGCTGGTTGGAGTGGACGGCTTAAGGCTCTCTAAATTAGAAATGACATGACCTCATCAGCGAGCATTGTGTGCCAGCTTTGTGTACATCAGGAAGAAAATAAAGCTGACGTTGATGGAAGGGAGCATTCGCATCTGTGAATTATTGTATTAACTGCATTTCCTCTGCTACATCCAGTAGTAACCACTGGCCGGCGAGCATCGCGGTCCATTGGCAAAACTATGGGGCTGCACAGAGGAACTGTTTGCTTCTGTATACACTGGGAGACTCTCTGCATGCTGAGACAAGACAAAGGAGGAGGAGAAGGAAAAGCAGAGGATGAGGAGGAGGAGGATGAAGACAGCTCCTGCTCAGAATCCTCTGTGGCCTCTCACAGCCAACCGAGGGCCGCTGGAAAGGACCCCAATCTCCCTCCCATTCAAGCTGCACCAGTTGGCATCTATGCAGCAATTCCTTTTATCTCTGCTGCTTCATTGACTAGACAGGTCTGCATGGTTGGCCCCGCGCTTGCCTGTAATTTAACTGTGATGTGAACTGCTGACTGGCTTTGGCCGGGCGACTGTGCTGGATAGGCCTTTTGCTTGAATCTCGACATGGTCTGAATACTAAGTGGCACAATCCGAGCGCATTTTGCCTTCCAGACACAAATACGAGAGGTGGGTCAGGCATTCTGCAGAACTAAGGGCACTTCTGCAGGGGAGCCCTTTCTCTCAGGTACGAGAGAACTCAGCTAAGAGAGTCCCAGTGAGTTACCACGGGGAAGGAAGACAGTATTTTAATTCACGTGATCTTTTAATAGGAATCACGAGGATCTCCCCTGGGCAACAGTAAAAGCTATTTTTAACAGGGGCAGAGAGGCTGGAACCTCCCCCCACTAAGAGATAAGTGGTTGCCTCTTAAGTGCCAGCTTTGGGAGATGGGCTTATTCCGGGGTACAGTGGATTCACCTCTAGACTGGGATTCGGCCATCACTTGAGCATTTCTTTCTCTTTGTGGTACCGCCCCCCAGGGTCCCCAAATGTATCCCAGATCGCAGTTCGTGTAAATATTCAGGGGGGTGTAGGCGTACAGATTGTGAAGGGGGATTCTGCCAGGGAAGTTGGGAAAGCAGCTTGTGTCTCCCCCTGGGGCTGAGAGCAGCTCCTCTCCTCCGTGAGTTCCTCGCCGGCAGCGTGGTGCCAGGAATGCGGCCGCGGTGCCAGCATCCCTCCCCGGGAGACTGAACGTGTCACCGCAGCAACGCGCCCGCCAGCGCTGGCCCGCGCGCGGCATCCTGAGTTTGCAAATTGCGACCCCCCAGCCGCCGCACTGCTCCGTTACTGCTGCCGGGACGGGAAGCACCAGGGGCCTGGCGATGCCAGGATGCCGGGCGCTGGAAGCAGGGCCCTGCCCGGGTGCCTCGGGAAGCACCTGTCGGAATCTCATTCAGAACCCACAGCTTCCAGCTGCGGCCTCGGGAGGCGCCCTGGGGATGGCGTCTCGGGAATCCAGCTCATGGAAGGTGCAGCGGGGTCACACGGTTAACCCGCCTGTCCTTCTGGAGCCCTGCTCTGGAAGAATATTCTGGGTGAGAAGGAGGCCAAGTCTGGGTCCAAAGTGCACACCCACATGAACAGGAAAGCCTCTTCTGGACCTCACCTCCCACGTTTCATCACGGGGACCTCAGCATCAGGCCTTCCCAGCGCTCTCCTTAAATCCTCCACCTGCAAGTGTCCCCTTTCCGCACCAATAATGGGAAAGCAGCCTGCGTTTACTGGGAATCATGCGATGACCTCTCTACCTAACCTTCTCACAATTAAAGACACTTTTCTAAGGTTTCAGTTTTCGAGTCTGAGACCCTGGGTGGCTCTCCTCCTGAGTGTCCCTGGCTTTAAACTGCACACTTCTCAAGCCCCAGGCCTTCCTGCCTGCGTACCCTCCCCCAGTCCTCACCCAAGCCGGGCAGATGTGGGTGGTGAAAACATTCTGCATCCTAATTCTAATCACGAGTTAGGTTTCCCATAAGAGCGATAAAAGGATAAAGATTTCCTTCTAAGAATTCTTGAAAGGATTACTCAGAGATTATTACTATTTTTCTTTTGGAAAGTTTGAATTATGGTTTTAGGAAAAGGGCCAAGGAAGGGGAAAAGCGATGGGAAAATGAGAGATGTCTTCAGTGACTAAAGAGGGTTTCAGAGGCTTTCTAGGTACGCACTGCTGGGCAGACAAACAGCACGCTTTACTGAAGCCGGGTTTTCTCCTGCGAGTGCAGGTGACCCCCGACTCTACGGTGAAGCCCGTTAATGGGGAAACGCTACCCCCCCAGGGTGTTGTCTGTACGGGCAGCTACCGTGCCAACCCCCTCACAGCTTCTGGGCATTCTTGAGTTATTAGGAAGGGGGATTTTAGGTAACGGTGTCTTTTTAATCTCCTTCCAAGAGGATCTACCCCCGCCTGCATGCGTACATTAATAATGGAGAAACTCAATACCTGACATCATAAACCGGAGTGAGAAATGATGTTGGTGAACATAATTTTCACCTGCAAAAATGTGTTTCTCTGGATCTTTGGTTTATTCTGCACCAGGCGTGAATAGCTATCCCCACGGAACACGCTGCAAACGATCACCATGCTGCTATCCAGGAATTGCCCTCCCTCTTCCCCAGAAAAGAACAGATTTTTTTTTTCCTCAGAATATTAGAAAGAGGATTTGGATATAAAAATATACAGTGATGGATCTGGGAGGGGCCCATGAGTTTGCATCTGTGTTTCTGAGCGATTCCACACAATTCACCCTGTCACCGTGCCGGCTCACTTGAAGTGTTCACATCAAGTAAATATATGAAACGCCTCATACGGTGCATAGCCTCTTATTTGGTAAAAGCATTTTCAGAAATCTCTTCATAGGACATAATCTGGAAAGACATCAAACGTGTATGCAAAAAAGAAATATTGCCAGAAGCTCTATATTATTGGGGAGGGGGGAAGGAAAGAAGGCAGACAGGGAGAAAACAAGAAGGGAAAATTGTTGAGGAATATTATTCAGCCATTAAAAAGCATATTCCACAAAGGATTTTTTGTAACAAAGGAAAAAAGCTTATGATAAATAAGCAAAAACTCAGCACATAAAACTCTATACACAGGATATTCTCAGCTTTTATTATACAATGGGAGCAGGAAGGAAACATTAACAAGTGTTTATCTCTGGGTAGTGAGGTTGTATCTGTATTATTATTATTATTTCTGCATTTTTCAAAATTTGTACAATGGACAAGTTTTCCTTTGTAATCAGATAACAAGTTATTTTGAAAAGCACTACCCACCTACAAATGAAGCAGCAGATCAATACCTTTCTGCCCAGCTAACAATTTTATATTTCCTGGTCAGAGAACACTATCTTTTATGATGTTTTACTTGGAAATAAATCAAAGGCTTCATCTTTTTTTTTTTTAAACAACTGCATCAATGAGCTTCTGTGTGACACATTTTCTTTTTGTACTAGGAGGTCAAAATGAATCGAATTGGATGTAATACTTTCTGAAATTATGGTAGTGATACTTGCCATTTTGCACAGTAATTTCCATGTCACAATACACTCTTAGATTATTACTGAGCGGAATCTTTCCCAAGATCCCGGGAGGGCAGTTGTCAGCTGGCACCATCCCAGAAGGGAGACCACAGGAGGCCAAGCACCGGAGAAGGGCACGTGCACAAATAACTAGTA